AACTATTTTTATTTTTTCATCCCTAAACTGAACTCTATAAAACATCTCCTCACCTGTTTCTCACCTTTACATCTTCTCCAGGTTAATGAGGCATCGTAAACAGGTGTAATAACCGTACTTTTGAATCTGCTCATTAAACAGACACTTAAGTCAACTACTAAAGTCCTCAGTTCGCCCCTCCCCCTGAACCACGAACCCCCGAGAGATTCAGACTCATGAACCCGAAGCATTTATGGATAAAATAGTGTATCGGTCTACTGGTTCGGGTTCACGAATCTTATGAATCTCTCGGGGGTCCGTGGTTCAGGAGAAGCGAACGGACTTTAGTAGCTGAATGTATATACCGTTCAGGTGTCAACTTGAAGGCTGAAGAGTGAGGTTTTCATTGGGAGCATATGTGCTAGTATATTTAGCCGATAATATAAAAACTACGTAATTGTGTCGTATATTCCTCTTTGGATATCTCGAATATATCAGTATTATATAGATGTATATATGGATTTAGTCCTCTTGATATGCCAAAAAAAAATCCTAATAACCTACGTATATCCTATATCCTCCCCCAAAACACCTGTTATGTACTGGGATATACAAACTCAGGTGTACAGTATAGAGTATAAATGTATATATCTCCGCCAAGGTATATATCCTCTCCCCAGCGATGGTCAGGAGATAAAGGGCATAATGGTACCCCTATAGGGAAACATTCACTAAAAATTAATGTTCCTCTTTTTGCCGTGGCGTGACCCGCATCTCACTCCTAGCCCACCCACAGTCTCTCTCTCTCTCTCTCTCTCTCTCTCTCTCTCTCTCTCTCTCTCTCTCTCTCTCTCTCTCTCTCTCTCTCTCTCTCTCTCTCCGGCACAAGAACTCATAAGACACAGTAATGACGGCAAAGCACTTCAACCTCACAATTCTTTCTTCATACGTTTTCACATCATATTCGTCTCTCTCTCTCTCTCTCTCTCTCTCTCTCTCTCTCTCTCTCTCTCTCTCTCTCTCTCTCTCTCTCATAAAAACACCAAATGTCATTTTTTTCCACCTCTTATCGCCCTTCATTCCTTTCTTCTCCTCCTTTTCTGTATTTCTTCCAAACACCAAACATCCATTTTTTTGTGTGTTTGCCTCCGTCCCTCTCCCCTCTTCCATATACTACCCTATCCTCTCCCTCTCACTCCAATCTCTCACCCGTTCTCACGGCCGGAACACCTCTCTCTCTCTCTCTCTCTCTCTCTCATTTATAACCCTCTCTTTTTTATTGGGGCGTGACGAGTGGGGTGAGGGGGTGAGGGAGAGGGGAGGGAGGTGAGGGTAGGGGTGGGAGGAAACAGGTGAGGCAAGAGAAGGTAGATATACAGGTGTATGGTGTGTGTTTTTTGAACTGTGGAAGTGATTTGTAGCGTGAGTGTTTCCGGTGTATGTATGTATGTATGTATGTATGTATGTATGTATGTATATGTAATAATAATAATAATAAACGATTTATTAATAGAGTTTGCAGCCGGTGGCTGAAAATATACAGACTTACATTAAATTTAGACATAATGATATAATATGCATTGAATACATTTACAGGGCTGTGCAGTACATAAATCAGGAGTTGTTTATTATTTTAACAATAGAAGGGATGGTGCTGTTCTTATATCTATCGGTGCGGGCTCTTATGGGCTGAATTTTGTTGTAGTGGCGGACTGCGCGAGTAAGGTTGGGGGCTGCAGGTGGCAGGAGGTGGCGATGGCGAGGGTGGTGCAGTAGTCCACGGCCAAACCTTTCCAGTGCTTGGTGGTGGAGGTCACTGATGGATGGCATTTCCAGGGTGGAGAGAGCATTGATGTAACCGGAGTAGTCTGCGCCGAGCATGATTCTGCAGGCCCTTTTCTGTACCTTCTCCAGCTGACGTTGTTGGGTGGAGTTGAGAGAAGACGACCAGGCTGGTGACGCATACGTTAGTTTGGGGAGAATAAAGGCGTTGTAGATGGTCCTCAGCTCTGGCGTGGGTGTCCCAAGTGACCTAAGTCTTCGTAGCATGTAGAGACGGTACAAGGCTGCCTTGACTGTGTTATTTACATGGGCCTTCCAGTCAAGTTTGTTGTCTATAGTTACACCCAGGAGTTTGGCAGACTGCACCAGCTGGAGAGGATGGGCACCCACTGTGACTGCTGGGGCTTGCACTGGAGTGGTGGCGGTATTGATGTGCATGACTACAGTTTTGGTGTGGTTGATGGTGACCTTGTTCTCCGTAGTCCATGCCTGTAGCCTGTCCAGGGTGCCTTGGAGCGATGAGTAGTCTGGTGCGGTGTTGTCCACTGAAACCCCCACAGTGCAGTCATCCACGTACTTCCACCTGTGAGGAGTGTCCGATAGAGCGTCGTTGATCAGGATGAAGAAGCACAGTGGTCCCATCTTGGTCCCCTGGGGAACACCGCAGGTGAGGTGTTGGAATGTAGAGACCAAGCCCTGATACCTCACTGCTTGGCGACGTCCACTCAAGAAATCAGTGAGCCATCAGTGTGTGTATGTATGTATATATGTATGTATGTATGTAATTAATGTGTGTAATGTATGTATGTAATATTTTTTGTTAATTTCAGTCATATCGTTTATGAGTATGGCCAATTGTATATGACAAAGTATAATTTCACATATACAGTACCGTCAGTGCCAAGACTTGACTGCATTACTCTAAATTAGATCAACGTGTAGACCAATATTGCCAATGATGTTACTAAACTAAACCGGTTAAGAAGGGGGAGATAAGGTGGCTTGTTAGGTGATTACTGTGTAGTGATGATATGGTTAGTGTAACCCTTTGAGCACTGATGACATAACCCTTTGAGAACTGAGGGGGTTATGTCATAGTATTCAAAGGGTTAAGTCATCGTATTGAAGGGGTTAAGGTTTCCTGTGTGTGTGTGTGTGTCTCAGTTCTTGAATCTCTCTCTCTCTCTCTCTTCTTATAATCACCTCCTTTACTACCCCTTTCCTCCTTTAATTACCTCCTCCTCCTCCATCACCATCTCTTCCCTGTCTCTCTACCCTCAACCTCAAGGGCCTCAGGATAGCCCCCAGGGGTCCCGTACAGCCACTCTCCTTCGCCAGCAGGAAACACAGCTCTAGGAACTCCTCTTTTTTGATGTTCACTTGGGCGAGGTTGTTCATGCTGTGTTTGTTCGTCTCTCCCCTTCCATATTATCTCTTCAGCTGTGTTTGTCGGCTTTTTTATTTTGCTTTTGTTTCAAGGTCGCCTCTGCAAACACACAGCTCAAAAGAGTGGTGGGGGGTGAGGGGGGGGAATCATCCTCTGAAAGGCACCCCCTCCTCTCCTCCTCCCCTTTCCCTTGCCTCCCCTTACCCCCTCCCCTCACACGGTCTCAGTCAAGGCTCTCAAATGTGTTCTAGTTACTTTAGGCAGACGGGGGGAAGCGATTAGCCCGGCCCACTAACCTGTAAACGGGGGACGATCTTCAAAAAGTTCCCAACGTGTACTGAAAAGGTGGAGAGGAGGGGGGAGCAGAGGAGGAAGAATGGGCAGAGGATGGGGAATAGGAGAAGGAAGAAGAGGAGAGGAGAAGGAGGGAGGAGGAGGAATAGGAGAGAGGGGGAGGAATTGAAAGAGGAGGGTGAGCAGGAATAGAAGGAGGAAGGGGGCAGGAGGAGGGAGATGGCAGTTCATGAGGAGGAATGGGAGAAGACGGAGGAAAGAGGAATAAGAGGAGGAGGGTGAGGAGGAACGTACACATGTATAAAAGCTTCCTTAGTGTATGAAAATGTACAAATGATTCATAATTATTCAGATTTTCTCAAGCGTTCACCAACACACACAAAACGCGTTGCTCGAGGCGGGACGAAGGTAATTTTTCTGTCCTTTTTATTTTCGTGTTTTTGTATAAATAAATAAGTGCTTTTGTAGGAGAGACTCGACCTATTTTTTTTAGCTTTTGTAGGCGACGACGAGGAGGAACCGAAGTTTAACTGAAAGTAGTTTTAAGGGTTCGTTAGTAAACTTTCACCCTTCGCCTTTTCTCCCTCCCCCTTCCCTTTCTCTTTCCCCCCATCCCTTTCCTTACTTCTTCTCCAATCCCCCTTCCCTCTTTCCCCATCCTCATTTCTCTTCCCCTCTCCTCCCTCTTCTCTTCTTCCCTTCCATCTTCCCGTGTCATACTCCCCCTCCCCATCTTTGACTGACCATCATGCTCAAAGGTCGTATGCCTCACGCCACCACAATACAGGATTTGATCACACGACGACAACAATTGTGTCGAGTCGAGTCGTAATTATGGTCTTTTATTTATATTTTCTGGTTATCTTTTGTTTCTTGTATAACCATAAAGTAGGATTAATAATGTTGTTTACCAAGAGTTATTATATTTTTTTGTATCATTATTATTGTCATTGTTATTGATGATGATGATGTTCTTATTATTTATTCTTGTCATGACCTCTTGAACCAATGTGCAGAATAATGCGTAGTGGAGAGTCAGCAGCACCAAGACTTGACCTGAGCAATTGAAGTTTATAATTGATGGTAAAGTATTGTTCTGTAATATACCTGAGACGCAAGTTGGACAGGTGTACGTATAGCAATTAGAGACAGTATGAATATGGTGTGTGTGTGTGTGTGTGTGTGTGTGTGTGTGTGTGTGTGTGTGTGTGTGTGTGTGTGTGTGTTTTTTTAAACAAATCACTTGCAGACATTTAGGGTTAACTAGCAACTGTGACCAATATCCAGGTAACCAAACTCTTTATTTTTTTTAATAAATTTACCTTCACAGAGAGTAATTACAGGTAGTGTGTGTGGCAATACTGTCACTAATTAACATAATTTACCATAATAGGAGAGAAATTAACAGTATTAATTAATGGAATAGTGTGTCCTTATAAAAGCATTATCAATCAGTATTATAATTTACCAAAACATGTTACAGTAATTATCTTTTTTATTTTTTATTTAATTACCATCTATGTATTTGTTGACTAATTATATATTTGTGTCTTTACAGGGAGCCATCTGAAGCATTTAAGTGGACCAGTTATTATGGTAAGTGTTAGATCATGAAGTTGTATCTTGAAGTCTACTATTTGCGTGTAAGCACTCGAGGGTCAGGTATGGAGCACCTCTCTCTGATGCCCCAATTAGTGCCGGGGCATCAGTGGGAGCATGAACAGCTAGTTACACTATCGGTCGTTCATGAATCTAATGCCCCCTTCTAAACTACGACTTACATCATTAATTTTTTTCCCTTCCAACTACGACTTATGGCGATGATTAATTCCTTTTCAACTACGACTTAATAATACTCCATATCAAGGTCACTAAACCCTATATAATCATACCCATTCCTATCTACGACTTACAACTATACACAATCAATATCAATAGATACCAGACAAACACATTCTCTTTAAACTACGACTTTGTGTAGATCAAAGTCAATATAAAAAGAACCACGTCGACACATGTCTTACCTACATCTCTACTGTGATTTACAACATGTAGAAACAAAAGTCAATTTATTCTTAAACGTGAGAATTCTTAATATTTATTTTTTTATTATATTTATTGTTTATTGTTTATTTATCTTTCTTGTTGATGTCTGTTTGTGTTTCATTTAATGAGGTGTGTGTGTGTGTGTGTGTGTGTGTTTGTGTGTAAAGACGACGTTTTTGTAGTGTGTGTGTGTCTCTGTGAAACTAGACTAAAATCAATATGAAACTCACATACACGCTGTGAACGACACCTTTACACACACACACACACACACACACACACACGTATCAACAGCACAATTTGCCAACGATTCATAACATATCCCAAGTGTTCATGATGTCTCCTATTAACCTTTGTCTTTGATTTAGTGTTACTGAGGATATTATTAAATCGACACACACACACACACACACACACACACACACACACACACACACACACACACACACACACACACTCTCCTCATGATTTATCTCTGCGAATTCCTTCATAATAAGATCACTTTACACTGAACGCCGCACGACTGAAAATGCAATATGACGCCGAATATTAACAGTGCTTAAATTTATAGTCTTCGAGTACAAATATGTGTCGGGGGGAGGGGGTAAGGGGTGGTTTGGGTAGGGGAGGTTGGGGAGATCGAGGTTGGGGAAAGGTAAAGGGGTGGTTTGGTGAAGTGGGGGGGTAGGAGTAGGCTTGGGGACGGGTGTTGTCTCTCTCTCTCTCTCTCTCTCTCTCTCTCTCTCTCTCTCTCTCTCCTTATCTACACCTCAACTATTCTCCCTCCATCTATGTCTCCCTTTCTCTCCCTCTCACCCACTTCCTTTCTCCTTCCTTCACTCTCCCTCCCTCTCTCCAAGGTAGAGTCACGGGTCAGGATTCAATTTTGTCGAAGGAAACAGAGAAATTGTGAGTTAAGGGGCAGGAGGTCGGGTCTTTCCTGTTTCTCTTCCTTATTGGCGTGTCTCCGGTGTGAAGGAGTGAGGAAGAGGAAATAGGTAGGAAGGGATGAGGGAGTAGTGAAGGAAATGGTGGGAGGGGAAGGTGAGGGAGAGGATGTAGGTTGGGGAGATGGTAGGGTGAGGGAGGAAAGCATGAAGGTGCAGGAGGGTAAGGGAGAGGAAATAGGTAGAAAGGGCGGAGGTGTTGGAGGGGAAGGGAGCAGAAGGGTTGGAGATGGGAAAGGAAATGGGTTGGAAGGGATGGGACAGGAGGAGAGAGGGGTGGATGAAGGCGAGGTGAGAGTAGGAGGGGTGGATGAAGATGGTAAGGGAGTGAAGGGGAAGGAAGAAATAGGTAGAAAGGCAGATAGGAAGAAGGGGGAAGAGGATAGGAGAGACGTAGGAAGTTAGATGGGAGGAAATGAGTAGGACGAGAGGAAACTGGAGGGAAAAGAGAGATTAAATGAGAGAATGGGCGTGAAAACGAGGGATAGAGCAAGGAAAGAGAGGGAGAGAGGGAATTGAATGAAAGGTCAGGTCCCTCTCTCACTCACTCTCCCCTCACACATAAGTCAAGTCAACTGTTTTTTACGACTCTGTCCAACTTGGGGATGTTTTCTGGGTCTGTTCTTTAGTGTGAATTATGCCAGGCACCTCTCTCTCTCTCTCTCTCTCTCTCTCTCTCTCTCTCTCTCTCTCTCTCTCTCTCTCTCTCTCTCTCTCGTTTATTGTGCACCCAGGAGACGTTCAGTTACCTCCAGTTAAGTGACAAAATTACAAGAGTTTCTACAGTAACTAGACACGTTCACTTAGCACCAGTTAGGAGACCCCCAAAAAATATTACACGGAGAATATTTGAGATTCCAGACGCTAGACTTTTTGTAGTTTGTAGGTAGTGAAGGACCTTGGAGTGTAAAGTAAATTCCTTACCTTGGTTTACTTTGGAGGTGTTTAAAGTATACCTACATCCATGGTATACAGGTTACTCAATGGATACTACAGTGTAAAACTACAGTCTTAAATCCTGTAGGTGTTTCAGGAGCGCTTGATGTAAACCCAAACAGACCCTGTAGACGGCAGGCTACAGGCCATTGTTAAGAAGGTAAACTGCTGTAGACTTCCTGGGATACCACGTCGTAAAGTAAACTCGAATTCTTTGTGTTGGATCTGGAAGGAAGACATTTATTAACCGTAAATAAAATGCTTCAGTGTTATGGTGACTTAACGTGGCTGTCTAGACATTCACGTGGTTATGGTGATTTCACGTGGTTGTCTGGACATTCACGTGGTTATGGTGATTTCACGTGGTTGTCTGGACATTGACGTGTTATCGAGGAGTAACATTCACATAATAACTGGTTAAGGTTTTTGTAGTGACAGCTTGACTCGTTCCGGAATTTAAACTATGTGCGTAGTGTTAAAAAGGAAACTTAAATATTTTATGTAGGAGAGAGTAAGTGTGTGCGTGGAGGATGGGTGTTGGGGAAGTGTGTTTGTGGGGGGTGTTTGTGAGGGGGAAGGAGAAGTGTTCGTGGGTGTGGGGGAGGGTGTTCGTGGGTGTGTGTGAAAGAGAGAGAGAGATGGCGCCAACACCAAGGTCACGAAGGTCAATGTCATAGGGTCAAGGTAATGTGTCTGTGTGTGGTGGCCGAAGGGCGTTATTACCTGGGCGACGGGGAAGGTGAGAGGGTGGTCGGTCGATCAGCTGACACATGTAAACAAACAGTCATTCCGAACCCTTTGACAGTGATAGTGTGTTGAGGAGGAGGAGGTGAGTGACATTAAAATACCGTATATATATATATATATATATATATATATATATATATATATATATATATATATATATATATATATATATATATATATATATATATATATATATATATTGCCAGGTGTTCAGTTACACGGTAGAGTTTTTATTGTAAGGGGCAGGTGTTCATGGATATGGTGTTTTAACGTTAATTGACAGAAAAGAACATAATATTGAAGGAAATTTCATTATGTCCTTTTGTCCATACTATACTTGGCTTCCCAGTGAGATCGAGTTAAAGTTGATCTAATTCTTTACTAGATCTAAATATGTTTAACTCTTGTCGTTAATATACTGTATATATATAATAAATACTAACGGCTCAATTACTGAACCTTGGGGTACTCCACTAGTGACGTTACCGCAGTCGGATTTTGTGCCATTTATGCTCTGTTTCCTGTCACTTAACCACGTTCTAATCGTATTCAGAATATCCCCACCATTCCCATGTGCCTACATTTTCATTAATACATCAATAATCTCTTAATAGTCTTTTGTGAACGACTATGTCCCAGAGGATTTGCTAAAATCGAGTTACACCACATTACAAGTGTAGCCATTAGTGAAGAGATTCGTAAACGCGTGGGGAAAAAATGATTTTTCTGACAAGAACGTCGTAATTATTGCCTCCAATAATTTCCCCACAATTGATGTTAAACTAATTGGATGGTAGTTAGAGGATAGTGATCTATCTCTCTTCTTGAAAAGCGTTACTACATTCGCTATCCTCCCAAGGTTCTGGCACACAACGCCCAATTTTAATAACATGTTAAACAAGTTGGCCAAAGGCGGAGTAAATTCTTCCTTACATTCCTTTAATACTCTGGCAAATGTCTCATCGGGCCAGGCGACTTATTAGATTCTAGAATATCGATTTCCTTATTATCATCGTTACTAGTCACTACTAGCTCGCTTAACTTATTTTCTTCAATATTTATATTGATATTAGCTATTAGTATCATGTTTAGGTCCTTACGAGTGGGAACTGATAGATAATATTGATCAGAACTATTGCTCACTCTCCCATGTTATCACTCACCTGCCCTGAATATAAGTCGATATAATGGGCTTTCATTTCCATATGTTCAGTTAAATAGAGGTTTGACACACACACACACACACACACACACACACACACACACACACACACACACACACACACACACACATTGATTTAGATACCTGTATTTCACCTGTAACTTCCCCATCAAAGGTCTCCGTATTACCTGTATTAAACCCTTTGTGTGTGTGTCATTCTCGTTCCGTCGTCCACTCCACTCCTCACACTGAAGACTGGAGTTAATATTTACACCTGAGGAAGAGTGTAATTATTACAGTCCATGTCGAATATATTGTGTTTATTCCTCAGTCATCTACTTCCATTTTCTTATTCGTATTTATTTCTTGTTCTTATGTATTCTTATGTGTGTGTGTGTGTGTGGTGTAATGGCAAGTATGGTTCAGGGGTAATGGTTAGCCAGTGCAGTTGTCAAGTTGTCCGGTCTTCTGCTGCAATTTTTTATTCTTCCCTAAGGCCACATTATAATATCCACGCATTTTCTCTATATTTACGCGCATTCTGATAGCCATAAACGCGTTCTGATAACCATATACTCGTTCTGATAACCGTGTACGCATTTTGGTAACCGTGTAATATACCCCCACGATATAAGAGGATTAGGATCGTATCGTTAAATAGTACAGTAATATAGCAAGATTAATTCTCGTCATGTGTGTATGTGTGTGTGTGTGTGTGTGTACTGTATAGGTGATGTGGATGGGTATGTATGTATGGT